GCTCCCCGACTCATGCCCTGCACGCATTCCTGTTTCTGGGGTGTGTGCGTGTGTGCATATGTGTGTGTGTGTAAAGGTTTGAAATGAAATTAGAATTGTTGGTTTTTGCTGGCATGGGGGGTTGTTTTGTTTTGAGACAGGGTCTTGCTCTGTTGCCCAGGCTGGAGTACAGTCTCACAATCACGGTTCACTGCAGCCTCAGCCTCTCAGGCCTAAGTGATCCTCCCACCTCAGCCTCCTGAGTAGCGGGTACTGTAGGCGTAAGGCACCATGCTGGCCAGTTTTTTATTCATTCATTCATTCTGTAGAGACGGGGTTTCCCCATGTTTCTCAGGCTGGTCTCAAACTCCTGGGCTTAAGTCATACAACTGCCTCAGCCTCCCAAAGTGCTAGGATTACAGGTGTCAGCCACTTTGCTCAGCCGAAGTTAGAGTTTAGAGTACATTGCTATAAACTGCAATTACAAAGTGGATTGAAAAGTTAATGAAAATACTCAACAGCAAACTAACTTCAGAATTTGTGCCTTTGAGGCTTTTCACCTTGATCTCCAGATAACACATAGGCTTCCTGCTGAGAGCCGGTGGAGACACAGTACGAACTCTGTCTGCAGCGTCTGGCGCTCCTGTCAAGCTTTTGTAATGTTTGCAGCCTTATACTTCACAACTAACTTTTAAAAATGTACCAGTGTTAGGGAAATGGTGCTTGGCTGCATAGGAAAGTTGACTAGCCAAGATCAGAATTTTGAAGGCAATGTCACAGCACACAGTAGCAAAGCAATTTTATGACATGTGCCTTCAGAGGTAGAGTGGTCAGTCTGCAAGGGTAAGGTTATGTTAGTAATTGTGTTTTTAGATGATTTCATCAATCGCCAAGTACCTGTGGTATTGTTGAAGTGCAGGGGCGCCCTCAGCTCCCCTGAGAGGATGTTTCTCCAAATTTCTTGGTCTCCTGCTCTCTCAAGAATGAGAGAGGGGACCAGGTGCACTTGCAAAGTAAATACTGGACCCCAAACAGAGGTTTGCAGAAAAGTGATTTTATTTAGGTAAAGGAAGAGGAAAAAGAGGAGAAGATGAGAGAGAACTTCCACATGAGAGAGAGTGTGTGGAAGGGGATCCAAACTTGGAGTCCAAAGGGGTGTGGACGAAGGGGACTTCTAAGCTGGGAGGAACCCCCACCTTCTCCAGGACCCCTAGCCAATGAAAGGAGTTCCTTAGAACTTCCACTGGAGTGATCAATTTTTGACCCTTTCCCGTGCCTGTGAAAATTAAAACAGAGACCGTTAAATCTCCTGGATGGAGAGAGATGGGAGGGGGGCATGGCTCTGGGAAGTTCTTGCTCTCAAACCTACTCCCCTACATGGACCCGGAAAAAGAACACCTTTCCTCAGTGTGCAAGTTCCAGGGGCTGAGACAATGAGTAATAACAGCTCCTGTCTCCCGTGCTGGGGACATGTCTCATTCTTGAGACCTTCCCTTACTGGAGTGAGCTTAACCAAAGCTCAGAAGTGAGCAGCATCACGTCCTATTGTATTGCCATGGAATAAAACTGTGCCAATCACTATAGTGTGTAAGGCAATGAGTTCCTGGGACAGGCATGTTCTTGTAGACATAGGGGAGTATATTTATCTAGTGGGGTAAATTCCCTAACTAGACCTGGACTAAGCTTCCCCAGAAATTGTTACTTATGTTTGGAAAGTCATTGCACACACAGTCTCAGTGGTTTTGAATGAGGAATAAGATCTTTGTAATCCTTTGTCTCCTCTGATTTCAAGCTGAATAAAAAGAAGTATTTTGATTTGTAGACTTTTGTATTATGTACTTGATACTGAGGCTAGGGTCCCGGTCTTTTTTTTTTTTTTTTTTTTTTTTGAGATGAAATCTCACTCTGTTGCCATGCTGGAGTGCAGTGGTGCGATCTCATCTCATTGCAACCTCTGCCTCCCAGGTTCAAGTGATTCTTCTGCCTCCGCCTCCTGAGTATCTGGGACTACAGGTGTATGCTATCATACCTGGCTAAGTTTTGTATTTTTGGTAGAGATGGAGTTTCACCATGTTGGCCAGGCTGGTTTCGAACTCCTGACCTCGTCATCCACCCAATTCAGCCTCCCTAAGTGCTAGGATTACAGGTGTGAGCCACTGCTCCCTGTCTTAATCACCATTCCATCCCCAGCACCTAGCACTTGCCCAGCGGACAATAAGTGCGCAATGAATGTGACCAAAAGAAGAATGAAGAATCAAAGAAACTAGCTACTGAAGTCACATCCTAAACATTGAGAGGTTAAACTTCCTTTTCTACTGCATTAGAAAAAGGCTTATTTACTGTTTATCCATACTGTAAGATAGAGATTTGATCTCATTTTTTGGTTAAGAACAACCATATCATAAATGTGAGCATGTGTTGTGTGTGCATTTTACAGAATTTTTAAAAATACACAGAAGGCTGTTCACAGTGGTTAACTCTGGAAAATGGCAGGAGAGGCAGGGGCAAGAACTGATCAATTATTTATAATCTCAGTGATGAATAGGATAACCAAAAATAGGTGGATTATTTAAAATTATTATTATATTAGGATACTTTGGGCTTCTAGAAACAAAACTGTAACGGAAAAGTCACATAAAGAATTTAGGATTTTTTTTCTGACATAAAAACAATTAAAAAAAAGGGATGATATCAGTTTGGTCCATCAGTGACTTAGAAGTGTTTTTAAGAATCTGGGGCTTTCCGCCTTCCCACCGGGCCATCTTCAGCAGGTCCCAGGGCCTCTGGGACTTCGCATTAGACATGACAGTGTCCAGCAAAGAAGAGAAGCATTTCTGCTTATGCCTCTGTTTATAATAGTGAGAAAAATTCCCCAGAATTTCACCAGCGATTTATTCCAGGTGGCATTGGCCAGGATTGGGGCCAGCTGTGCCGTGCTTGGTTAGCATCGTCATTTACAAGGGAAATGCACTCATCATGATTCACTTAGACGGATCCTGGGACATCTACTTGGGCTTGAACACATGGCCAGGCGGAGGTTGGTGCCCCCCGAAAAGGTCTGTGTTCTGCCAACAAGGAAGACACAGACAACAGTGTCTAACAGAAAAAGCCACTTTTTGCTTTACACCCTTCTGTATTGCTTCAACAGTCAAATACTTTATTTTATTTTATTTTTTGAGACAGAGTCCTGCTCTGTTGCCCAGGCTGGAGTGCATTGGTGCCATCTCTGTTCCCTGCAACCTCCACCTCCCGGATTCAAGAGATTCTCCTGCCTCAGCCTCCCAATTAACTGGGATTGCAGGTGCCCACCACCACACCCAGTTCGTTTTTGTATTTTTAGTGGAGACGGGGTTTCACCATGTTGGCCAGGCTGATCTCGAACCCCTGACCTCAGGTGATCTGCCGGCCTCGGCCCCCCAAAGTGCTGGGATGACACGCATGAGCCACCATGCCCGTCCTAGTCAAATACTTTCATAACGAACTTTTTCAATGTGTGTGTCCTACTTTAAGATAGAAGATATTCTTTCTTGATCCCGTTTCCATGCAGGTTGACCCCATGATGTGTGACTCACTATTTGGCAAAGCAAATCTCTTGTCTTGCATCAGCTCAGTCTCTTTGGCTGAAAATTAAATCAATAGCCCTTTCCACCACCTATCTCCCAGGACAGGTTACTAAAAATACGAAGTCACCATCTAGGTAGAATCACCATTTGCCCCTGCTGCCACTGCCACTGTCACCTGCAAGTCACATGAAGGCTGCTGAGGCTCGGTACTAATCATGCTGCAAAATGAAATGCAGGGGAAGAGAAAAACCGAATTCCATGAACATATTTAAGTGTATTGGCTCTCCTCCATTGATGTTGGAGCTATATTTTCACAGTAGAATCTTCTTTTGTTAAATATCACAGTAGTATGAAAACCTAGCAGAAGAACAGGTCACTCTTTCTCTGATTTTGTGAGTGATGTGGGCTGTGGAACTTACTCTTTGCTGCTCTTCCCCCAGCCCCCACTGCACCCCTGCCGCTGGGGTCAGCCTTGTTGGCTGCCCCTGACTGAGAGGACCCTGCCCTCACCCCAACCCAGGTTATACTCCTCTGAGAAGACCCCTTCATCCCTTCCCCCACATACATCCCCTCAAATTTCTAATTTGCCAGAGCCATTGATTTCAGATATTGTAGGAAAAATAAGCAAGGAAAATATGCAAAACAAAACACGGATGGCACGTAACGCACAGCATCTCGGTGTTAACACTCAAAAAGAGGTCTTTACCAGCCTGAAGTTAGGAAAATGTGTGTTCAGAGTCACTGGGCCTTCCTGCAGTCCTCTGGATTAGCCAGATGACCACACATTGCCAGCACGAGAAGCAGAGCGGTTTCACATCCCTGGTTCTGAAGTTTCCCAACAGCTCATTGAAACAACCCGCAGACACCTCTCTGCCCCAAACCCAGTGTGTTTTGGGAATGGCTCTAGGAATTCTGCTTGATGCATTGCCTCATTCTCCCTTTCCCCGCCCAAACCTTGGTGTTGGAATTACAGCAATTCTTAGACTCTATAGAAGTCCTGTCTGCCAGGAGCCTTGAGCACACTGGACTGAATGGTGCCCTTCCAGCACACCCCAGCATTTGCAGTGCATTAGAATCTTGCCGTCACTTGCACATGTCGCCATGTTACTTTAACGGGAGTTCAGACTAGATACGGCTCTTCTCTGCTAACAGTTGCTTTTCAATATTTTGTTTGAGGATTGATAAGAATTCAAAGACTTATACCTTTTTTTTCCCCCTTTTGTGCTAATAAGTTTGTTTCCTTGGAGTTTTACTCATGGCTACTTCAGAAAATGTCAGTTTTATGCCATAAATGTCATCATCATCTTCGGGTTCTCAGATTTGAAATTCACCGGAGCATGGCAGCCTTATGTTCAGTCCATTCTTTTGCTAAAAAAGGAAGGAAACTTCAGCAGCTGACTTACGCTGTGGAGGCTGGAGTGGTTCCACCGCTGTAATTCTCTCTCTGTCTGCCCACAGCTGTGCCGAAGCGAGCGCTACTTGTCTGCAGGGCCGTACCGTGGAACCCTCTTTGCTGACCAGCCAGTGATGTTTGTCTCGCCTGCCAGCAGACCCCCAACGGCCAGTCTCTGTGGACTGGTTCACCTGTGTGGAGGCAGGGTCAGCCAAGTCCCCCGCCAGGCCAGCATCATCATCGGGCCCTACAGTGGAAAGAAGAAAGCAACAGTCAAATACCTGTCAGAGAAATGGATCTTAGGTAAGAATGTAGGCAGAGACACTGTTTTGTGGTCCTCATCTATGGACAGGTTTCCAGGGAGAGCAGTGTCATGCTCACACCCCCTTCCACGACGCCGGGGCATCTGGGTTGATGTCTCGGCCTCCAGCATCTGCCCTGGCGGTGGCTTGTGATCTCCCTCGGCATTTCCGCTCTTGCCGTCAGCTGAAGTGCAGTTCACAGGGAAATGGGAAATCTAACTGGACTTCCCCGCTTGACTTCCCTGACTCGTGTGAAAAGCCTCGTCCATCCAAAGCCACCCCGAGCCACCCCTGTGGGCACAGGCTCCCCAGGCACCCCTCCTTAGAACCTCCCTCTCCAATGCCTCCTTGTCCTGCTTTAAGAGTCCCTGGCAGCGCCCAGCATTAGGGCCCAAGCCCCTGTCCCTGTCATCACTGCTCCCACGCACGTCTCGTGATCACTCCGTCTGCTCATGTGCTCAAAGGGAAGTAAGGGGATGCCATCCTTGATTTCACAAAGTGAGCACTGTGACTGTCACATCCCACCCTGGCACTCATGGAGTTGCGCCAAGCACTGTGTGTGATTCTGGGGAGGAAGAGCTGGTAGGAGCTGAGCGGTGACCGGAGGAGGGTGGACCCCCACCCTGTGCTAACAGGGGGCTCCGGGAGACGTAGCCACTCCCTGGAGAAGGAGAAGGGGGTTAAGGAAGAGTGTGAAGGCAGGTTGGCCTGGGGAAGGCGGAGGAGGCAGGGGCAGCATCTGCGCTAGAACTTAACCACCCCACAGAGTCAGGTGTGGCAGGACAATCCTAGGGCTCCACGGTGGGGAAACCCCACATCCTCCTCCACGGGGCTGTGATAGACACGTTCGTTTGCTTGGGCTGCCATTGCAGAATACTGTGGCTGGGAGGCTTCCACAGCACGCATTGCCTCTCGGTTCTGGAGGCTGGAAGCCTAAGATAGGCAGCAGTGGTCTCCCCTTGAGGCCTCTTTCCTGGGCTTGCAGGCAGCTGCCTTCGTCCGGTGACCTCACGTGGCCTTTCCCCTGTGCACACACATCCCTGGTGTCTCTGTGTGTATCCATGTTTTTTCTACTCTAAGGATAACAGTCAGATTGATTAGGGCTTACCCAATGGCATAGTTTTATTTGTTTTTATTTTTTTGAGATAGTGTCTCATTCTGTCACCCAGACTAGAGTGCAGTAGCAAGATCACAGCTCACTGCAGCCTCAACCTCTCTGGCTTAAGTGATTCTCCTGCTTCAGGCTCCCAAGTAGCTGGAACTACAGGTGCACACCACCACGCCCCGCTACTTTTTGTTTTTTGTAGAGTTGGGGTCTCCCTGGGTTGCCCAGGACAGTCTCAAACTCTAGGGCTTACGTGATCCTCCTGCTCTGGCTTCCCAGAGTGCTAGGATTACAGGTGTGAGCCACTGCGCCTGGCCCCAGTGGCATCTTTTTAACTTGTCTTTTTCAAGGCCCTGTCTCCAAATACAGTCTCATTCTGAGTTACTGAGGGTTAAGTCATCAACATAGGAATTTTGGACAGACACACTTCAGCCCGTCACAATGAATCACTCTAGTTTCAGCCCCTGGGGCCAAGATCCTTACCTGGTTTCAGAGGTATATCCTCTCTCTCTCTCTCTCATTCTTTCATTCTTTTTCTCTCTCTTTGCTTCCATCTCTTTCCATGTTTCTTGATCAGTTTCCATTCTTAGTACTTGCCCTTGTCTCTAAATCCTAAACTTCTGGCTTTTCTCAACCCTTGCTAAACATTATCCCTTAATAGACCAGTAGATGCTGTGTTTGTCCAAGTTACATTTATTTGTAACTACAGACATTTTACAAATATCTTTTACGTGATTGATGGTCATCCTTTCATATATTTTTAAAGCATGGCAATCAAAAGTAATTTTTTATTCTCTGGTACAAAGTAATTCGTCTTTTGCCTGGAAACTAACTTCAAAAAAAACCCCTATGATATTAGCCACAGTCCAAAAGCTAAAAGGGTGTTCACTCTTCTCTAAATGCCAAGAATATAACCTTCAGAACATCCTATGTTCGGAACCAGCAGGGTTTTTTTGTATTTTGGAAAAGTGTATTATCAGAAAGCCACTGACTGCAGAACAGAACTGGGCCTGAAAGCGTGTCTGGTCCAGCTGAGGGAACTATGCAGTCCCTATCAGCAGCCGGTCTTTCAGAGTTTGGAAGGGCTGTGCCGTGCAGGGCCTGAGCCTGCCTTTGCACTGTGATTCCAGGTTGGGTGGCTCTGACTGCCCCTTCCTGTGGCTCCTGCATCCTTGTGCAGAGTCATGCTTGCCTGGCAGCTTCTCACTTCCTCCGGCTGTTTTGCTGTTCGGCTCTCCCGCCCAAGGGTTTTCAGGACGTGAATGTCTAGCTGCTTAATCCCGAGGCTTCGTTCCTGCAAAGCCCTTCAGAGTTCTCTGACTTCCAGGGCTAGGCCACTGTAACTCTGTCCTGTTTCTGATTTCTCACCAATTATGCCATCTGTGTGTGCCCTTGGTCACATCTGGGTATGATGTGTGCTGCAGCCCTCACCCATGTGACAGGAGTCCCCTCACTCACCGGCCACTGGCCCCTAGACTACTGGGCCTCTCCAGTGTACCGAGACTCTCCAGCCCACACTCTGGGATGTAAGATCACATAGTTTTCCAATATTTATTGATTTGTGTTTTTCTCTTTGTGAACTGAATTCCAATCCAATAGCTGCAGCTATGTGGAAATATAGGAGAGTTTAGTTATCTGTCGGTACACACATGCGTAAACCTATAGAAAACAGCCCAGGGCGTTGCATTTCCTGCCTCATCCAGGTCCAGGATGGCCGCTTGCTTATTCTCTGACCAGAAGCAAATCACATACTTTTTATTAATTATTATTATTATTATTATTATTTTGAGATGAAGTCTCACTCTGTCACCCAGACTGGAGTGCAGTGTTGAGATCTCTGCTCACTGTACCCTCAGCCTCCTGAGTTCAAGCGATTCTCCTGCCTCAGCCTCCCCAGCAGCTGGGATTATAGGTGCCCGCCACCATGCCCAGGTAATTTTTGTATTTTTAGTAGAGATGAGGTTTATCATATTGGCCAGGATGGTCTAAAACTCCCAACCTCAAATGACCCTCCTGCCTTGACACCCCAGAGTGCTGGGATTACAGGCGTGAGCCACTATGCCTAGCCTAAATCGCCTATTTTCTGTGGAACACATTTACTTATTGTATGAAACAGAGTCATAACCTCCACCTTGCTTACCCCACGAGACAGTGAAAGGAGATAACGCAGACAGTGAGAATGCCCCATGGCGGACGTAGGCTTGCTAGTTAAGTATGGCAGAGTGACAGTGTCCATGGATGTGTCCTAGTCATCCCTGACCCTTTGTCAAAGCGGCATGGTATATTTTGGAGACTTTGTTTTCCTCCCGTTAACTTCCACTATAATAACAAATGCTTCTCTGGACAATATTTCATTGTCAAAACGTTGCAATATTGAAAAAATCAGAGGAATATGTATCAAACCCTTTTAAAGCACCAACTCAAAAAAAAAAGTTATTTTGTTTAAATAAATTAAATTATGAAAAGACAGTACTCAAAATATGTCAATTAAATTAAACTGGAATATCAACTGCTGTGTAAGGTAGGGTCCCCGGGCATCTAAGAGTAATTTGAGCTGGGCATGGTGGCCCATGCCTATTATCCCACCTACGTGGGAGCTTGGCTTAAGCCCAGAAGTTCAAGGATGCCATGAGCTATGATCCCACCACTGAACTCCAGCCTGGGCAACACAGCGAGACCCCATCTCTAAAAAGAAAAAAAAATCATTTTTCAGCACCTTCCTATTGTTTCTAGATCTTATAGCCTTATTTTGCTGCCCCACATGGCTGGCATTGAACAGAAAGTGGAGGTGTGAAGTCACCGAACAGGGCTCAGCATAGGAACTGTAAGCCCTGCCTCACTCACTTGCTCCATGGAGAATTGCATCCCTGCCGCGCTGCCAAATAATGGGGTTATCGGAATGGTCATGATTACGTTCCCTGTTAGTTCCCTAGAGTCTTTTTTCCCTGAAACTGCACTGTACTTGGGCCAAGATTTTTGATGAGTCATTCAACCAGAAGGAGAAATGGAGTTGGTTTTATTATTATTATTATTTTGTTTGTTTTTGAAAGAGTACACACTTGTGAGTGGTTGAATATGGATAAAAATAAACAGGAAAACAAAAATCCAATACCCAGACCTAGAAAATAAAATGTTACCTTTACTTGATATCAGTATTACGTATTATATCTAAAAGCATTCGCTAATGAGTTCATTTCCCCTAACACTACCATGAAACATAATTCCCATTTTACACATCACGAAAGGAAGACCCTGGGGCCTGAAGGAACTGGGCTGGAGTGAGGATGTCAAGCCCGCGGGTGGAGCTCTGAGCCCCGCGCGGTCCTCAAGGGTCTGCGACATTTGCGCTGTGGTTAGCTCTGTGCACCCTTCCCTCCATGCTGCTGTTATCACCAAGGGCTGGCTTGGCCTTTCTCATTGGCGTATTTTCACTCTCAGGCCCCCTTTTATTGTCTGGGTTCTGTTCAAGTGATAAGACATACATTTATGCTATTGTGGGAACATAATGTAATATTCTCAACAGCATTGCCAAAAAAAAAAAAAAAAAGTTTAGCCTCTGCATGATTTCCTTATAACTTACAAAGAAAATGTGGTTTGAACATGACGCCATGTCGATGTTTTCAGGAAAAAGATCCCTGATAGCACGTGGGCCTTCTCATGCTGGTCTGGCTTGTTTATCATTTCTTGTAATGACTGACCAGAAAAATGCACCACAGTCACATGGGGCCATTCAAGAGGTCTCAGGCCTGCAGGCTTCCTAATTCGATAGATGCGTGAGGCTTGATCAGAGTCACTGAAGTCCATTGTCTAGATTAGGAACCAGTCACAGAGAGGGGAGGCCTTCTGCAGAAGCTGTGAGAGTGTCAGAGAGGAGAGTGAGACGGAGAGCTCTGCCC